GACAAAATTCCTTTGTAAACCGTTCCATGTCCGCCGCGGCCGAGCACTCGAGTCTCATCAAAATTATTAGTTGCCTTCTCCATCTCTTCCAGAGAAAATATCTTTGTTCTCTCACTAAAATCTTCACTAGTTGAGATTAACTGTTGTAACAGTAAACCATGGTTTTGATGGAAGTATTTTTCTCTAGTTTTCTTTTGTTTTCTTTTTTTCCATTTCCTTCTCAGGATGAGGAGACTCGAACATAAGAGTAATAGGCCTATGCCGGTGCTTGCACCAATGATGACACCTGCACAACATCAATCATAAATTTAGCTCCATAAAAACACTCCTTTAATTTTATTTTCTACGATATATGTAGATAAAGGATTGTCAATGACTTCAATGTCTTCCTGTTGATTTCCATTATTCGATTATGCACCTTTTGCATCTTTATAAGTATATTAGCCACAATGCCTTACCTAACAGAAGAGTCTGGTTTTTGTTGTTAGGAATGCAGGGTGCAAGTTTAGGATCACCAGATGTGCCCGCTGCACAAGTGCAAGTATATCCGCCTTCCGTGTTAGTACAAATCCCATAGCAAAGACGTTTCTCGGTTGAGTTGCACTCATTGATATCTAGACAAGTCATTAGAGACAAAAGGAATTATAATTTGCTCATCAAATTACAAAAAACAAATTGATAGTAAAGAACGACAGCAAACAAGTATTTGATTTGATTCTGTGTTCAGTAGCTCACCCCATATCTGTTTGTTCTTATTGACTAATTTTATTATACAAAGCTCTCTTTGTAACTCTGCAGTTTAGCTAATATAATTTTTTTTAACAAAAATGCAGTACAATTTTCTGCGTGGCTTACAATAAAAATAATTTTACAATACATGTATGATCACTATTTCGATTGTTATTTATAGTTATTCTGCTGCGTGCTATTTGATCACATTCGTTGCTCAATTTTCCTCTCAGAGAAGGCGGATGTTCATGTATTTTTAACTTTAAGTTATATAAAAAAAAACATAGTATTTGCTGTGTAGGAAAGTTATAATTATATAATCGTTATAATGATCATAATATTATAATTTTTTCTACGGTGTTTCGTGATGGTTCTTGTCGTTAACCCTGTTGGGGAATAGTACTAATTCATTTAATATCAATAGATATGATAGATCACATACTGCAAAGAAACATTCATTGAGCCTATAATGTTATGATTTATCTCAAATATATTGTGTTGGCTTAGAAACGTCATGTCAGATAATGGAGTAACAGAGTGTCAAGATGGAAGTTTGGGAAACTTGAGGCCTTTTCTAGATAATTGGTCTTCTAGATTTTGCACAACCTGTGCAGTTCATGGTGATCCACTAAGTTAAAAGTGCATAAAATGTTTGTTCTATAATTATTTTTCTAATTATGAGCACAGAACCTTATACTTTGAATGCAAGAACAACTCATACTTGTCGATTTAACGCATAAACAGATTTTAGAGTGCATCATATTAAATCGAAGAAAAGAGTCGAGCACCTGTGCATCCATTAGCCACGTAAGGATTTCCTTGGTAACCTTGCCAGCATTTGCAACGGTATCCCACAAACTTGCCACCGTCATTAGTAATTGTTGTGTCGAAACATGAGCTGTGAGCGTCGACACATGCGAAGGTGCTCATGTTCTTCTTAGCAACCTCGCAATGCTGGAACTCGATCATCCAACTAACGATGGTCTGCTGTTTAAGAACGATGAAAGGTTTATTGCTATTTCCCGTTGCGAAGGTGCCGTCTTTTGACTCGACTTCCAATTGGCCTTCCTCCAGAGATATATTAGTGACTGTGTATTCATCTTGGTAAAGGAGAGTGGGAGGATTGGATGTGGCATTGCATGTCAGAGCAAATGAGTCGTCCCTATAACAGCCCTCCTCCAGCCCAAATGGAAACAAGACGTCGATACTCCCGCATTTGGTAACACAGCCGTTTGCAGCAGCAGTAGCAGCAACAGATGTAAAAGAATTTTCTGTTGATATGATCAAAGTGGTCAGCAGCAGAATTCGGCAAAATATCAAAATATGCATCAATTATATTTGAGACATATAAAATTTATTAGGTCATCGTCTAAATAATGTACGGTGACGTAATTAAAATGTTTATCAATTATGTTTGGCCAAAGCCAAACACTAATTTTCCATCACAAATACAAACGGAATGCAAAACTACATGGACATTAATGCTTGTACCATCTAATTATATGATGAACATATAAAAGAGTATGCCTCGTGATGATGTGAATTCAATCTCGAGTTTCTAGAGATCATCAGGAAAACTTAACAGAGAAGCATGATTCTACATCACTTTGATCTGATCCAGATAATAATTATACGTATTCGAACTCATTTAAAGAGAGATAGAGGAGGAAAATTACCTTGACAGCCGTTAAGTACATAGGGATTGCCTTGATAACCCAAGGAACATCGACACAAATATCCAACGCTATTAATGGAGTGGAACGGATCAAGAAAGGCACCATGGCAGAAACTATTTTGACTGAGGCAAGCGTATGTATCCGTATTCATGGCCTCTTCACATGAAAGATGATCATTCATGTACCATACCAGGGTGGCCTCTACATTCGTTCTACTTCCGTTTAATACTCCTTCGAGATCGGAATCATTATCACCATTGAATATGGTGGCCTTGATGCTAGAGGTATTCACCGAGTGTAACTCAGTTTGACTGAATCGAGTTAGCTGAACCTCCATGGCAGTTGTACTCACAGAATATAGATTTAATGTGAAATATTCTTCATTACTGTCGGACCACTCTGAATATTGATTCGGATCACTGGCAGCGCAGAAACTAAAACGAGTGCTGATGGATTTATTGGTGGTAAGATCCACTAGACTGGCCATAGCGCTACAACCCACAACGTAAACTCTGTTAGATGTCAATCCTTGATAAGCATTACGTATCATCTGTTCCTCCAAGTACAAAGAGTAAGGCCAATTCTCCAGATCAATCAGTGAGGCGCGTTTAAACTCATCGTCGACACCCATGACGACAGTTGGTGGTTTGATATATGCCAACCCCTGGTTCATATCAATTCTCGTCACCTCGATGGTGCCATCACCCAGGAAAAGCCTGGGAGCGCTGGTGGAATGGTTTCTGCAGGTAAGATTAAAGCCCGGCCGAAAACAACCATCGCCGATGCCGAAAGGATACTCTAAGCTTATACTCCCACAACTTTTTGGGCAGAAAAAAGGCAGAGGAAAAGTTGTGTTTGTTGATCTACTTTCTGTTCTTATTGAACCCATTGATGTGGATGCCAGAAGAAAGAGTAAAATCTTGACCAACCCCATCTCTCCTCTTCCCTCTCCTAATCCTACCATTTTCCTCCTCCACCTGCCACATACGAGTTGCATTAGGTTGGCAATGCAGACACGAGTAAAACGTTATTGCAAACGGTTAGAAAACTAATAATGACGACCTTTTAGTCTATCTTATATTTTAATGTTTTTAAGTTATATTATATCTAATTCGATCTTTTCAATTATCAGAGATATATAACTATCAATCCGTCTCTTTATCTCACATATAAAAATATTTTCAACGCAAACTTATACTACTTTTTCATGAGATACGATTAGAGATGAGCAAAAGAACAGAGAAAAATCAGAGCAAGACGCTTACATTGGTGTTATCGAGGGAAGGAGCTCCTGAGGCTTGAGCAGCATAGAGATAAGAAGAAACAATCAATGATGCCTACTCCTTGAGGGACGAACGTGCCTAATTATAGGCAACCTCTTCCAGTGGAAAACTGGAGCTATACTTCTCAACAATCAACCACGTTGACGAAGACTAAAGACTTTTAGCTTGGAGTGGTAATGTATTCTTTGAACTCTGAACTCGTCAGAGTTGATCCATCAGGCAAGCTTGATGATGATCCTATACTTTTTCTATATGCTGTCAAATCGGTGTTAATACACTAAGATACAATATCATAGACATTGGCGCGAAACTTTTAACTCGGATTACCATAAACTGAATGCAACCATCGTTTTATGCGTCAATCGCTTTGACATAATTAGTTTCATGAGAATCTGCATCACAACTAAGATCAAGGATCATAGTTTAGCCTTGCCGTGCAAATACTTCATTAACTAATGCACTATCTGTCAGAAAACGAGATCAGGAAGAGCTACAGATCGGTTGGTTGACAAGAAGACTTGGAAATTTTAGCGTTTTGAAGTCTTCAGAGATGTTCCATCGGGCATTAAAACACATGCTACGCAATTTTTCAATGCCGTTGAACCGGATGTGTCGACTCCTGAAGAAATAACTATTGCACTGGATTATTGATGAGATATAGATTAGGAAAGGGAATTATATTGCGGTCAACGAAATACACCCGACATTGTTCGCTATCGGAGCAAACCAAAACTTGTATTTAGGGATGGAAAAAGTTCGTATACTCCTCCTCCTAGAGTATACTAATAACTTTGATCATGAAGACCAAAGGATGAATGTATATTTTTTCGTGTATTTATGGATGGAAACAGTGTTATTACTTGGTTGGCGACTTGGAAGATGAACGGACAAGAGAAAGAAATTTAGAAGAAAGACAGGTAGGCAATGAACCAAAGTCTTCCTTCTCGTTACACACAAGAAGAAAGACTAATCATATTCATTTTCTGGAAACAGTTCTTGTCAAACTTCAATTAATTTCCAATGGCAAAAATATTCATTACTGATGAGCAGTTGAATTGTTGAAAACGAGTTCAAAAGACGGTAAACCAAATAATAAGCAGAAAGATAGTTGATCAAATATATGCGATAGTAACCTGAGGTTCATATATAGATAAATAATACCAAGTAATAAGCCTTATCCTCCGATCTTATCCTCTTAATCAATATAAAATCATGATTAAACATACGAATCGGTGGCATTCTACCGATCTTCATCTTCCGCAAACTATAATTGCATGGTTTTGAAAACCTTTGTTTTTCTTGAAAATATAATAGTGAATTATTGTTTATTTCCTTCGAAAAATCTTTATGTATTTGATTTTCCTTTTTCCACAAGAGTCTACGATATAAGTTTCTGAGCCGTCTGATCCATCAATTCGCTCGTCCTATCTCCTGTGGGAACGAATTAGTCAGTCTATAAGAAAACGCGTATAGTTCATCATTTTTTTCATGTTGTGTTGGTTGACAGAGACGCAGCGCGAGATGACTCGACGACTCCCACAATTCTCACACTTTGTGTCTTTCACATACTCTTCGTCGAACATACGCGGTTTAGAAACTCAACAAGAATCCAATTCTCTGACGCTACAAGAGTTTCTGCGTCAAACAGCTCTCTCGGCTCAGCTGTTATGTCACGTGACCCCAAACCATATGCTTTGATCAAACCCAGATTTATTTCCTCATAAAAATAGAGCAAAAATCCATCGAAATTTGGATCTCGTGTTGGCTCCCTTTCGTGGATCGGATTGTAGAGCGAAGCTTCCTCGGATGAGCAAACTCAAGTTCGATCGAAGGTTTCTTGATCGAACTTGAGTTTGGCATCGAAATGAAAATGAATACGGGAGTTGGATATAATACGGGCTTAGACATTCGTGGAACAAATGGAATGGGATTCACGAGTATCCATCCTGCAACCATCTCTACATATAACATTTATCTATCTCAGATGGAATCCACTTGGCAATTTTTTTTCTTAAATTCATGAATAATTTCTAAATAATAATATGTTTTGGAGGTTAAGCAGGTATGTTCTCGTATTATGGGTTGCACAAATAGTTCAAAGATGAGAAGAACAGTGCCCACTTATTAAAAAGGTTTCAAGTGTACCAACATGATCTTCTCAAGCGTAGACTCCTCAGTGCTATCAACTTTATAGAACGATTCATATGCACGATCACATCCATCACAACCATTTCAAGTACATGCCGTGTGCATTCTGTAGAATAATATTTAAAGATGGATATAAATAATGTGATTACTTTTCTACCAATCAACTTAAGCACATCACAAACCAAGTGTTCATATGGGTGCCACAGGAATCGAGCAAAGCATCTACTTATCAAGAACATTAATATGCTTACCGTGAGTAATTTAGTGACGACATCATCTCTTTCTCCAAGCTATAATTTCTTGACGCTTCTTGAATTGCCCTATTATCCGAATTACTGTAAATATTTTTTCCAAGAAAAGTAGAAACTGCATTTAGGCATTCGGACTCTCCGTGACCTTTATCAGTCCAATTATTCCTTCTCTGCTTCTTCATCCTTCTCAAGCTCTGCAACCTAAACTCTACTTCTTTCATCGTGGGCCGATCATTTCCTTTTAGTTGGAGACACATCTGTGCAAGTTGGATCACTTCGTGAAGCCCTTCTTCCATCCCTTCTTTCACAATACGAGCTTCAAGAAATTCTATGAGGCGATCGTCTCTTACTGCTTGGAGAAAATGCATGGACAGATTCATGTTTTCTCCGTCCTCGGCGTGGAAAATTGATCTCTTGCCTGTTAAAAGCTCAACGAGGATGACTCCAAAGCTGTAAACATCACTCTTCTCAGTTAGTTGACCTGTTTGGTAGTATTCAGGATCCAAATATCCAAATGTACCTTGCACGCCGGTAGATATATGAGTTTGATCGAGAGGAATGAATCTTGAAGCTCCGAAATCTGACACTTTTACAGTAAGATGATCATCTAAGAGTATATTGGATGACTTGACGTCTCGATGGAAAATAGAGATGCTAGCGGCTGAGTGTAAATAAGCAAGAGTTCCTGCAGTTTCTGTAGCAATTCTCAGACGATCTTCCCAAGATAATGATGAATTACCATTTGGCATATGCAGATGATCAGAAAGCGTCCCGTTGGAGATAAATTCGTAAACCAACAGGGGG